GATAAAGCACATTCGCCTTAAATCCGATTCAAAATTGGCCATCGGGCAGCTAAAAGGAGAAATGGAGGCCAAGGAAGGAAGGTTGAAGAAGTACAGGGACTGCGCCAAGACTCTACTTGGACAATTTGAGTCTTATGAGCTCATATATGTTCCAAGAGAAGAGAATGAAGAGGCGGATATGCTTGCTAAATTATGTAGGACCATTCCCATCCACATGGAGGGTATGGTAAGGCAGCACGAGAGGATCTGTCCTGTTTGGGAAGAGGCGGTCCCTGTCCTCGAGATATCCGGTCCAGGTACAACTTGGATGAGCCCCCTGATCACGTACCTTGAAAAGGGAGAGCTCCCTGTTGACCCCAAGGAGGCCCGCAGAGTTCAATTAATGGCTCCCAAATATCAACTGGATGGGGAAAAATTGTATAAAAGGACCTTGGGAGGGCCGATGCTCAAATGCTTGAGTGAGAGAGAAGCAAGAAGAATATTGGAAGAAGTACACCAAGGAGTCTGTTCTGCCCATCAAGGTGCCCTTACTCTAGCGAGAAAGGTGATACTCCAGGGATTCTATTGGCCCACCTTGAAGAAGGATGCGCTGGAGTTGGTGAGGAAATGCCCAACTTGCCAAACATTTGCACCAATCCTTGGGCGCCCATCCACCTTTTACACCCCTGTCACTACAGCCATTCCTTTTGCTAGATGGGGGTTGGACTTGGTGGGTCCTTTCGTCCAAGGGGCTGGAAGGAAGAAATTTGCCATTGTGGCAATAGATTACTTCACCAAGTGGGTCGAAGCAGAGGCCCTTGTGAAGATCACGAAGGAGAATTGCCGTAAGTTCGTGTGGAAAAATTTATTATGCAGATTCGGTGTTCCTGAGCAAATCATAACAGACAATGGCACCCAATTTGCCAGCACAAGTTTCAAGGAATTCTGTTATGCGTGGAAAATTAAACTCAGTCGGGCCGCCGTAGCTTACCCGCAATGCAATGGGCAAGTAGAAAACACCAACAGGACGATTGTAGACGGCATCAAAAAGAGACTGCACGAGTTGGGCACGTCCTGGGTAGAAGATCTATCCTATGTGTTGTGGGCCCATAGGACTACCCCAAGAAGGGCCACAGGGGAGACTCCCTTTGCCTTGGCTTATGGCTTTGAGGCAAAGGTACCTACGGAGGTCTTGGTCCCTAGCACAAGGGTGGAAGCATACACTCCAAGCCTCAATGAGGAATTGATGGAAGTGGACTCCCATTTCATTCAAGAAAGGAGGGACGACGCGGCAATAAAGGCGGAGGAGTACCAACGGCAATCCAAGAGGTATCATGACAAAAAAACTATACTTCGGACGTTTGAAGTAGGGGATTGGGTCCTACGTAAAAGGGAGAAAAGTCAGCCCACTAAAGGAGGAAAATTAGCCCAGAATTGGGAAGGACCGTACCGTGTGGAGAAGGTGGTGCGTACAGGCACCTATCAGTTGGCTACATCGGAAGGGAAGGCATTGGACAATTACTAGAATGTGGAGCATCTCAAAAAATTCTACCAGTAAAAGCTACATGTTCAAGGTTCCGTCCTCCCATAATTTTTCAAGCCTCTTTTTCAAAGTTTTCTTTTTCCCTTTTGTTCAAAAAGAATGGATTGTACTGTGCTTAATATGAAGAAGAAATTTCCCATTCATCATCAATTGTTCCGGTCCATGAGATAAGTAAAAAAAATTAATACAAATGCACATGAGGACCGTTCCTAAACAAAGTACAATAGTGACTTGAAAATTCAAGGCGAGGGAGAAGAACGAAGGAAAGAAGGCTCTGGTCCCATGGGTTTTGGGACCCCTGGAAACTTCAGCCAAGGATCTAGTCCATCAGAGTAAGGCTCCAGTCCACGATAAAATTGTTCTTGGACCTCCAAACCTCCACGATAGAAACCCCGGCCATAGTCTGAAATGCGATCAGCCTCCATCCGAGCCATATGTCCCTCATATGTGAGACGCTCGTTCTCGAGCGAGCGGCGGGCCTCATCAAGGGAACTCCGAGCTGAACGCCTCTCCTCCATAAGGGTCAGGTTTAGCTCGTTGACCCGTTGAGAAAGTTGACGTTCCGTTTCTTCATGTTGGAGGCGCCACCTCTGCTCGACCTCTTCCGCCGCCTTCCTCGCTTCCTCCTCGGATCGACGACGCCACGTTCGCTCCAGCTCTTCCTCTGATCTCCTTCGGTGAAGCTCTGCCTCCTCTCGAACTTGCAATTCACGCTCTCTGACCTGCCGCTCCAAGTCCCTCCTCAGGAATTCTATCTCCTTNGACAAAACCCGATCATATTCCGGACGCTCAACGCAAATAGAGTGCCGAGATTTGAAATCCCTCAGCTCCTTTGATAAAGCAGCATTGCGATCCAATAAGCGAAGGGAATGGCGCTGAGCAGAGGAAGTGGCAACATAATCGGCCTGTCAAAAGAGGAAGGCAGAAAAAGTTAGCGGTCCCAAAGGATCCAAAGAAGTAAGTGAAATACTTAGAATTAAGGAGGAAAAGGACACTGACCATACGAGTGTACTCCTCTTGCATAAAAGGCCAGGCCGGGCTGTGGACCACATCAGGATGGTCCCTCTTGAGCTGTTGTATTTCTTGAAGCTTGTTGTTGAAGTCCCGTCCTACCCAGGACGTGTATCCTGTGAATTGATAGGCCTTCCGGGCATAGGGAAAGGGTTGACCCCCTTGCCCAATGAGAAACCCATCATCGGCGGTCCCCATGGGAGGACCGGCGGACACCAGAGAACCGGGGAGAGGGGTGGAGTTCCGGCCCCTCTTGTGGCGGACCTGAGAAGAAGAGGAGGACCCGGTCTCCTGAATTGTTGGACCGGGGATGGCAGTGGGACGGATGGAGGAGGGGACAGTGGCCTTCCCAAAACTGGAGGACCGAATTAACTCCTCCGTCTCCAAAAAAGATTGATGGATATTTGTTCCGGGGAGAGGGACAGCGCCATGACCAAAGAGAGTCCCAAAAATATTCTCCGCCGCAGAATTTGCAAAATTAAGGATATTAGATGTTTGGGGTTGGGAAATTGCTTCGTCCCCCCCACAGCCAGAGGAGGGGGAATATTCCCAAGGAGATTCCGTGCTACACGGAATCCCAATCCCGGCCACCTGAACGTGAGGCGGCTCAAGGGACCCTTGCGAACCAGTGGCGCGCCCTGTCGGAAGGGGTCCACTGGTTTGGGGGTGGAAACCTAGTGGGCCCATGGGTTGAGCCGAAGAAGAAGTTCCCCTGCCAAAGAGAGGAGTGTGAGGAACGCCGGGGATAAGGCCGGACACCCTCAGGGTCCCCGGAGGGAAGTCGTAGAGGCCATCATCTTCGGAGACGTCCTCAACCACCACCTCTTCCGAAAGGGGAGGTTGGTGGGCAAGCACCAGAGATAGGGCCCCCGTCGCGGACTCTACTTCCTCGCCCTCGGTGTCCTCCTCCGGGGAAGGATCCCTTCGAGAAGATCGCCGACGGAGTCGAGTGCTTCTGAAAGGAGGAACCCAAGAGGAAGTTGTGTCTCCCGACGGCTCTTGAGGAGGAATATCGGGAGACACCCAGAATCCGAGACCCCAAAAATACGAGTCCTTGAGGAGGAGCGCGCGGGGGACTGGATAGCCGTTCTTGCGAAGAAGACGGAAGACCCCCTCGAGCTCCGAGTCGCGAGGGGGAAAAAGGTGAGAAGGGAACTTATCTTCCTTCTTCCGCCACATGTTGGGGAAGGGAAGATCTTCGGGAACTAACACCACGAAGAAGCGGCGGAACCAATCGTCAAGTTTGTCAACCGAGCTATCCAAAAACTGCATATCGGTCCGGGCCGTGAAGCTCACGAACCCCAGCCCAACTTGCCATCATACTTGTGGGGACGGAAGAAAGAGAGGAAGAGCTTCAGAGTGGGTTGGATGCCTCTCTTGTGACACCGCGCCAAGAAGCCAAAAAGACTCTCGTGGGAGTTTGAGGAAATCTGACCGGGAGGTATGGCGTAGCGGTTGCAAAGTTCGACCAAGAGGGGATGGAGAGGGAAGCGGCATCCCATCCTAACCGAGTCGTAGTGGGCGACCAGTCGGCGGGAGATGTCAGGATTGCGCTCCAAAGTAGTACCCGTGGCTTCCTGGACGCCATAATCAGGAGGAATGACTCCCCTCTTCTCCCCCAATTGCGCAGGAGTGATGGAGGAAACATTCTCGTCCTCCTTGGATTTCTTGCCGCCGTTGAAGATCTTGGAAACCTTGGAGATTGTCTTCTTCATGGTGAGCGAGAGTAAAGGTCTTGGGAAGAAGAGAGGATGATTCGGTAGGGATAAAGGCAGGAGAAGTGAAGAGTTGCGTGTGAGCGTGAAGAAGGAGAGGGGAGAGGGACCGTATTTATAGAGAGAAAGAAGAGGGAGAAGAAACAGTCCACCCTCAATATCTCTTTGCAACGGTAAGAATTTTGAATGGCACCTGTTTCGAAACGGCCCAATGGCAGTGAAGGGACACCTGGAAAAGAGAATTGCAACCTTGGACTCGGGTCAGGAGCACTAACTCCAAACGGTCCACTCTGCCGATTTCCCAGATCTGCGGTCCTCTGTTGCTTTCCTTTTTCCTGTTACGGTCCCACAATCATAGATGGGTGGGGACCTTGAATTGTGCGCAGTAGAACGGCCCTACGCAGCAATTGAGGGAATCAGAGGGACCGGTCAAAAGGGGTTCGGAAAAATGTGCCATGGGTATTTAAGTGGCGCAGACTTCCAGGCGGTCCACACTGGCAATTCCCCAGGCCTGCGGCCCTCTGTTGCCACCCCTTTTTCCTGCTATGGTCAGCCATTATTAAGGTGACGTGGGCCATTGGCACCCCAGGCAGTGATTGGAGAGATATGCGGCACCACGATCCAAGGAGTGTGTGACCAAAAGACAGTCGAGTCGGCCAATTATTCATCCAAGGCCCGTGGCCCGCAAAGATACGCTACAGAAAACATCCGCAGTAAATACAAAGTGAATGATGGGGTTTTCCCCAAAAAGAGGATCTTCGTCAAAAAAAAAAAATTAGGGACAGAGGAGAAACTTTCTAATAGAGCATGCGAGAAAGACTACAATCAAAAAATCTTTTATTTTTTGACTTGTAAAAAAAAGGGGCATGTGATGGGAACCAAGCCCATCGAGAGAATACTAGCGAATTGGGCTCAGGCCCAATTTAGATTCCGTCCATCAAAAGGAGTGTCCGACCCAGAGAAAATATATTGGGCCAGTCAAAGGAAGTTATCCGTGAGAAAAGATAGGAAAAATGAAAAGGATTGGGGGCTTAAGAATGGGCTGAAGCCCAGCCCACTAAGAATAAGCTACCCCAAAAGGAAAGAAATTGTATGGAAGAGTCTAGAGCAGTCCCCCCTAATTGAAGGGACAAGGACAAGAAGAAAGGGACGGACGGGGAGCAAGAGATGGACGGACAGGCTTGTCCTCCAGTGGACGGCCTCAAGCTGAGATACATCCCCCCAGATGGAGGAAGGCTGGCACGAATATTCCCCCAATCACTGCCATTATTGGAGAGGATGAGGGATGGGGAGTGCCTATAAAAGAAAGAGGGACTTGGGGAATGGAGGATATCTTGTAATGAGGAGAGAAAATACGTGAGTAAATAATAAAAGATATTCTGGCGATCTTCAAGCATATTCCGTTCCTAAGAGGACCGAATAAAGGAGAGGACCGCCGATTTGAGTTATTATTTAGTGAGCAGTGCTTCTATTACTATTAATTATTATTCTCGTATTATCTTTCAATATTATAAGGCCCGGATTATTTGGACCTAGGCCGATCTACAGTCCTTGGGAAAATATTGGGTATCCATCAACCATGTAAATAGTAAACAAACAATTTAATTTAGAATGAAGGAAGTACTCCGGGTAATAAAAAAAGAAAGGATGAGCCTATCCTCAACGGCTCCCTTAGACCCGGTCGGACGGTCACCGAGAGAAAATAAATTGGACTTTTATTACAGTCTGGTGACAAAGAGTGGAGTATGCATCTAGTACTTGAAAAAAACCCTATGTTCAGTATTTTTGTCTCTCCCGCGCAGTTGCCAGAAATTAGGATTTATTTCTTAGCACTACTTGTTTTTGTCAACTGCGCAACACTCAACTACTCTTAATTTCTACCGAGTAATTAAAATTGCGACAGAAGCAAATTTTCCATGATACAAGAATGAACATACAACTTTATTAGAAGAAAAAGTGGCCACGAATATGGACTATAATGCAATTTTACTACGTGTAAGTTATAAGTCTCTTATGAACTTTCTCCCTCTCTTGAGTGATATAAACCACTTTTGAAATTTATACAAAAGTTTACTTAGATTTGTGCCTTAGAGGAGGTGGAAGCGTTACTCTTTAATAAGCATCATTAAATCACAAAAATATATTAATAGATACTCCGTACTATAATATAATAGAGTTAAAAACACTAAAAAAAAATTTAAAACTTGATGTAACACAATTTTTTTTACCTTTATTCCAAACAAGCTAAATCGAACCGAATCATTATTGTTTGGTTTGCGTTTTGGTTTTCACTTTAGAAAACCAAACCGAACTGAATAAACCGAACTTAGGTACTTTGTTTTATTTATATGAGTATATGCGATATGCAAAAAGATCATAAAAATATAAATATAAATAATTGATTAATCGATTAAATTTATTTATTTTAACTATTAAACATTTTAAATCATATTATAAACTTTAAAAAATTTAAGACTATAAACATCAATAACTAATCCTTATAGAATTATATTAACATTAACAATTGATACGGGTAATTTATATATTTACATGAACAAATTTTGATGTTATAATAGAAATGAAAGTTGTATACCAAAAACACAAATTTTCAATAATTGATATTTACATACGAAGGCTTTGAGAGCATTGGCAGCGGCGTTCCAAGCCAATGTCATGCCATGCCATGCCATCTAGGACCAATGCCATGCCAACTAGGACAAAAAAATTTCATTCCTTCGGTGGAAGCACCCTTCCTTCATGGAGTGCAAGGCTTGGGCGAGGCACTTATAACTTTTTTTTACTTTTCAATTTTTATATGATAAAGATTTTTTTGTAAAGTAATAAAACTATTTTTTACTTTCTCCATCTCGCAATAGGTTATAATACCTCTCGATATCTTTTGTTTATTTGTATGTTTTCATTGATTATTTAATTAAAAAAATTTGTCACAACTTTTTTTGTAGAACTTTGATGTAATTTTTAAATTTATAAGTTTTATTTTCAATTCTTATACCAATTTTTAAATAAAATGATTTTTAAAAATAGAGAGTTTTTGCATCGTAATTCTAAAATAATAATCTAAATTGAGATGAATTAGGAATAAATAAAAATATGGAGTAGATAACAAAAACATTTTTAATAATTAAAATATATATAAAAAAATATTTATTTGAGTAAATAGAAATATTTTCATGATAAAAATATATAAGTAAAATAATTTTTAATAATTCAAATATGGCAAAAATATGAAAAAAAGTGATGAAAACAATGACTTGCCACTGCAAGGCATGCCACTCCACTCACGTGCCACTAATTGACTTGACTGTTTTTTGTTGGTTGGCATGCTCCACGTCAGTGTGTGACATTCCATTTTTGCCTCACCATTGTTCATGCTCTGAGAGTATTTAATTTGGAAGCTCTTGGATGTTTGTTAGGCACTCGACACATATTTTTTTATGTAAAACTGAACCGAACCGAACTCTAATCTTTTGTTTGGTTTTTGGTTTTGTGTAAAAATCAAACCGAACTCAACCCTTCATATTGATATTGCTTTATCAAGTTAGTTTTTTTTTAAATTTTTAATAATTATAAATTTTATTTTTAAAAACCGAAAAAATTGAAAGAAACCGAAATAAAAACTGAATAAAACCAAATCGAATAACCAACGATTTATATATTTTGTACGCAAAATCGAACCAAACCAAACCCAATCCTTTCCTTTTATCTTTGGTTCCGAACACCCCAGTGCACAAGTTAATTTTGATTCACGGGGGATTCTTTCTCTCCTTATTCTTTTTCCAATCAAGTCGTCCTTGCACTTCCTTCCAGCTGCGAGCTTCTTGCTCCTTCCTATGCGCGCACACACACCCTAGACTTTCCACTCTAACCTTCACCCGCCGATTCTTCGTCTCACCAATGGCTTCGAAGAAGAAGGAATCGGAGGGAATTGCGTTGCTTTCAATCTATGGAGACGAGGACGACGAGATGGACGATTATCGGGAAGGAGAAAGCGAGAAAGACGAGGACCCGATTCCAATCGACGTCGTTGTCTCACCGGATAAAGACCTCGGCGGAGAAGACAATGGAAGAGGCGCGGGATTGGATTCGGGCAGGAGTCCGACTCCGTCGCCTTTGGCACCACCGCAGGTGGGAATCGACAATCTCACGCCTAGTAAGGTGTCGAACTTTGGGGGTTCTGCAACTGGAACGCCCCAGCTCACGGTTTTGTCACCCCCTCTACCTCAGCCGCAGGGAAAGCAATTGACTGCGGTTTCTGAGGTGGTTGTGACTAGAAGTAGGCTCACTATAGTGGATTACGCCCACGACGAGGTGGCTATGTCTCCTGAAACTGAGGTGGGTACTATCGAATGCTGCTCTATATGGATTTGAATCAGGCATTACTTCTTGATTCGTTATCTTTATTGGTTCACCAATTCCTTCACACTGTATAGGATCTGTGAACAGAGTGAACCACGGAGAAACGTTTTTGGGGTACTAGTTCAATCATAGGATTGGGGGTTTCCAATTTCCAGCAAAGATATGATTTTCTTTTTACTTTTTAAAATTATTTTAGCTGACATTACTATTAAGGCACTCACAAGCTTGTTGCTTTAGAAGATATGCTGATATCTATGCTCATAGATTTTGTGTGTTGATTGTAGCAAGGAGGAATCACTACCAGTGTTCAAGCACATGATATAGACGAACTGCAAGTAGTTCACTGTATGTATTCTCTGCTATTAAGGGGCATCCATATTGCATTTTTTAAAAACTTATTTTTATTCCTTGGAGTGCCATGATGTGGTTAAGTTTTGAGAATGATTTGATTATTTAGAATTCAGATAGCACAATTTTCTCGGGGAGAGCTTTGATTACAGTATAACTACTGAATAGTGCTACTTTTCATATCACACCCCATTGATCATTGATCTGTCCAAAAGTCAATGTTGTAAAGTCACTTCCTAGCCACAATTAGATATCTTCCAGGAACTAGGTTGTCCTTGATTAATCTCTGCCTAGGCACTAGGCTGAAATCTGAATTTGGCTCCTAGCACTCTGTACACCATTGATTAAATGTGAAGATGGCCTGGTCTTTAGAAGCTTGTTTATGTTTATGGTTGTGTGTATAGTTATATAAGTTTTGAACTGCTACATTTTTTGTTCATTCAGACTTAGGGTATAATTATATTTCAATATTGTGCATGTTGGTTTTATCTACCAATCATGTAATGTGATATGACTATGGGATATGAAATTAGTCATTACTCATGATTTTATCTTTAAGGGTTTACAGTTAACTAATTATAGACACTTGTCACTAAATTACATGCTACCAACCATGACATTTTTGGTATTATGGCGGTGATGATGCTGGTAATATTGATGGCCATTCAGACTTAATAGTGTGTAAGGCTTCACCTTAATGATTTATTTCTTATTTGTTATGTACATATGAAATTATAAGTGGAACAGGTATATACTGTTGCTAATGTTCTATTTCTACACGATCATATGAAGAATACTCACCTACTTTAGCATACTGTTGGAAGATTAACCCATGCTGGGAAAGTTAGTGTCAATTTAAGCTCTGAAACAATAATATTTGCATTTTCCTCAGCTTTAGCTGAATCACAAGTTAGAAGTCCATGGAGCTCTCTTCAGGGCCATACACCCACTATTCAAACACCTTCTCATCAATCAGTAGAGGCAAATGCTGATGATGCAAATGCTTTGAGTTCTGGAGATGTTGATATGTTTCCTGCAGAAGAAAAAGAAGATGATCCACTGGAAAAGTTTCTTCCACCGCCACCGAAGACTAAGTGCTCTGACGAATTACAAGTAAGCGAAGTATCAGCCGCATGATATTTTAGTTAACTCTGAAACATCAATGAATCCTCTTGTTTTGATGACGATTGATTCATGCGACCATATGTTTGTAGCTGAAGTTTTGTATACGGAGTATTATTTAATACGGAGTAATGCGTTTAAGACTGTCTTGTTATTTCATCTGATTAAGCCTTTCACCATCGTAGAGTGGTAGTTAGTCTTCAAATATTGCATATTCTGTAAGGCTATGTTAGGTTATTTTGGTTGGGGACTCAAGGTGTGGCCTGTGAGCTAGACTGGGTATGCCCTCCTTCAGAATGTATTCGTCGAATTATTCTTTAGGCGCCGTCCTAGTGTATTTTTCCACTTTCCATTTAAGGAAAAGAAATAAAGGCACATTGACTTATTTGCCCTCACTTAATTCTCCAACTACCCCATCCCAATGGTAAAAGTATGAGCATAATAGTCACTTCCTCCTCTTCCTTCCTTCTCCTTTGTCCATATGTTAAAAAGGTTGTGGACAATACACCGGGAAGGAGGGAGTAGATAAGGGAAGATTTTTGTATGCATATGGTTGTTACTTTTTGCACCGGCAATCCATTCCTACAAATGCATCATCCATTGTTTTTCATGGCTTAGCTGTCACAAACACACATCAGGAAACATACCCTAGTTATGAGGAAATAGTGTATTCATACCCTTATTAGTCATTTTGTGTCGTAATCGCAATCAATAAACAACTAAATCATCAAATAATTTTCTTCAAATCCACTAAGAATGCCCTATTGTCAAACTGTCTTACAGAACCCGCGATGACCTGTCCTCTCACCACTAATTGCCAAACAAGACCTATAAGATTTATGAGTTCTTTTGGATGCAATAGTGTTCAATTGTCATGACTCATGGCTGTGTTTCATTGTTATCACTTATGCATTCACTAGGTTAAGAGCAGCCTAGTGTAATGTCTTGAACCGCCCCTGTTTTATATGGGGTTACTTTACAGGTGGTAACTCTTTTTTTTTCTTTCTGTTACCTTATTGATATGTGAAGCCTGAAGTGAATGAGACTGGCTGTAGGTTTGAGTGAAAATGCATTTTGACCCTATCATCACTGTTGATTTATTTAATTTCCAATGCAAACGTTATCTTCTAAATGATGATGATCTTGGCTGGATTTCACACACACACACACACACAAACCCTCTCTCTCTCTCTCCCTCTCTCTCCAAATGTCAACCACCTTCCCAGCCCCCAACTACCTCACAGGCCACATCCAAAGACCAGATGCCATTATTTTATCAATTTAGTGTTTTTTGATCCATTATGATGTCACTTCATTTTCCATTTGAAATTCTTGTTGCTAAGCTGAATATTCTCTTTATTCCTGTATATGTTGCCACAGCAAAAGATTAATAGGTTTCTTGAAATAAAGAAAACTACTGGAAGAAGCTTTAATGCAGAAGTGCGAAATAGAAAGGACTACAGAAATCCTGATTTCTTGCGGCATGCAGTGCAATATCAAGGCATTGATGAGATAGGATCATGCTTCAGTAAAGATGTATTTGACCCACATGGATATGACAAATGTGACTTCTATGACGAAATAGGTTAGACAACTCTTATTTTTGCGAGTTTTTATCCTTCAACTGAATGTCTTCACAGGCGGCCAGTGTTTGGGACTTAATGTAGAATGTTTTTCTTTATACAAATTGATGCACATCTTTTTAAAACTTATATGCTCTTCTGGGTAAAAACTTGAGTTTAAGTTAACACTTTCAGAAATTTTTCTTGGCTATATTTGTATGAAGCATTTTCCCTTGAGCTGACTAGCAAGTGCTAATTTTGTCATTGGCATTTCCTTTAGAGGCCGATATCAGGCGTGAAATGGAGAGGAAGGAGCGAGAAAGGAGGCAGAGTCCAAAAGTTGATTTCATTTCTGGCGGAACACAGCCTGGAGTAGTTACCATGGGGAAACCCAATCTGCCACTACCAGGTTCCATATTGATTAGTGATTACAAACTCCTTGTCCTTTTGTGTATACATCGATTAATTTGTTTCTGATCAGTTTTCTGTCATTGTGGCAGGTGTTGGATTGAATCCAGCTCCAACTTCCGTTGATGCTATGCCCCGGGAAAGCAGGCACAACAAAAAGTCAAAGTGGGATAAGGTTTTCATCTTTTTTACCGCACATATTATGCAAACGTAGAAAAATATGATATGAACCTGTAGTCCTGCTGTGTTTTCAGGTGGATGTTGATCATAGGGATACAATACCTGTTGGGGCACATGCAGCATTGCTATCTACTGGTAGTGGATATGCTGCTTTTGCGTAAGTTCCATGTCATATGATTAATATTCCATCTTTCCTCATTCATAGTGTTTCCTAAAAATCTTCTTTTAAACTCCACCAACCCCCAATTAACAGTCTGTTTAATCAGGGTACAATTTTAAAATTGCGGCAATGTACAACAACTCTTGTAAATTGCAGATACTACGGACTCTCTCCGTTCCTAAGTACACTTCACATTTGAATTTACGAAGTCTGTCTGATTTTTTGGATGCAATTTATTTTAATAGTGTTGTAAAATTAAAAAATAAATAAATTTATATGTTAAAAAACTATATCAAATGTTCAATAAAAAAATATGACATGACTAGTTTATTGGAACGAATGATTAAAGAAAATAAGCAAAGAAAGAAGATATAGTTTGACCCAAAGTTTATTTAGGGATGATTATTGAATGAAGAGAGTATATTTTTACATTTATTTGTTTTTAATATTTTTTTTGATGTATTTAACTTCTAAGGATCACTTGTAGTTTTGGAAAATACTATATTTCATTCGATGAAAATTAACTTCTTTTTTGTTAAAACAAGATTCTTCTTTGGGACAAAAATACGTTTTGAAACATGACTTTTTTGGAGGGCGGGAGTTGCATACACAATCTTTTTTTTAAAACAGCATTCTCGAGCACATACAATAATTCCTGATTAATAGCAAGAAGTCCAAGAAAGGTAGATCTTTCAGGGGCTTATTCAAGGAGTCTAGTTTGTAGGCTCCTTTTTTTCTGATCAGATTCTTAGAGCGTGGTTTGTGTGACATTTTCTGTATCTCCATGCCTCAATTACTTTATTGGTCCAAACAATCACTCAATCTTTACTTGTTATAGGCAACAAAAACGGAAAGAAGCAGAAGAGAAGCGATCTATGGAGAAGAAGTTGGATAGAAGATCTTGACATTGCTGCAAGAAAAAGTTGCGGACGATCATTAGAGATGTATGTCAATGCTAATATTACTTTGACAAGATCTAACATCATAATTCTTGTAATTCAAATTTACCATTCTTGTGAAAAGGGTTATAGTATCAAATGTTCAATTGCTTTTATGTGAATTACATTTGAACTTCAAAACATGTCCACAAAGGCTTTCATCTTTTATTTTGGTTCCTTTGTCCTTTATTGGCACATCGGATGAGTTAGCATAACAAACATTCAAAGATGACTTCTCTTTTGGGATTATTCAATTTGGTTTTGAATGAATCTGAAAAGAATGATTCTTTCACTCCCACAGATGTGAGACACTATTGGTACTGAATCGAAGAGAAGTATACAGATCAATGCTTGCATCTACTCAAGTTGGCACATGCACTCTTTGCATTTTGGATGTCGATATATGCTTGTTCGACCAGGACCCCTTAAATGCACTGTTTGGTCCTCGTCGATCATCTGTCCTATTCTTTCTTTAAAACTCTGCCAACTTATGGTCTTGTTTTCCAACAAAATTGCAGCCAGCCTCTTCTTGCTAGGCCTCAATGTGGGAGCGTGCCCGTCCCCATAGTATGTTCTGAATCCAGAAACTAGAGATGATAGCTGGCTGCCGGAGTCTGTTATGGCAAATACGTCAGCTGCTGCGCATGCAATGAAGTCCAACGCTGCAAGCTGCAAGTAAGTGAAAAGAACAATTTTTTAAGCCAAATCTACCCCAACTAAGTGGCTGCCATTGGTATAAAACAACAATGTCATGGTCATTTTTATACTACCCGAGAAGAGTAATTTCTAAAAGGAGCAAGTTCACTGTGTGTTAGAAGATTTTCCTTTGTGACTATATTAGGATAGAGGCTTCTTAAAGGCTTCATCCGAGACTCTCCTCCATATATACTTGAGCCGGCAAGATATATGCGAGTTTCAAATTTAAAACCAAGGCCAGCGAGGACAAGTGCGGCTTCTTCCGGTGTCAATGGACATCTTCCCTCACTTCTCAGCTCCTCGGGAGAAATAGTCCTGCAATCATCAATACACACACACTTCAACCTTAACTCTGGACCCTCAACGTAAGACATGGTTTCATAGAGGTGGAAGCACAGCACTCCTAAAGTGACAAATTTACGAAAAGTGTAATGATAAGTGCTGCTTTAACCCCAGGGATGACACCAAATCTCACGTCATTAGAGACTCATGCAAAGACAGTCATCGTGTGACACCAAGTCTCACACCATTAGAGACTGTCATGCAGAGACAGTCACTGTGTGTTGTGTGCGAGACAATCATTGACGGCGATACAGTAGTTGGTGTCATCTGTGAGTGTAGCATGGTCCAAGTGAAATTGTGTTGAAGATATTGAATTTGTAAGGCATGAATTGATTTGGACCATAATTCAGGACAAACTAAAATGGGAAGAAACACCAAAAAAAGGGTGGGAGAAATAGAAAACATGCCTTGATTTCTTGAGTCTTTCAAGAAGCAGTGGAAAATGGGCTTCTCTGTAGGATTGAAGTTCCTTTGTTTCCCTCTCCCCGCCACCGAATTCACACATGGAGTAAGCCACCATGTCAATTTCGAACCTCAAGTGCAAAGCCAAGAATTTGGAAGAGCTCCCCGTGGGAAGAACCTTGTTCTTGGGGGTGAACTTCTCCAATAGTTCCTTGTCTAGCGTGCCTTTACTTGCATTGTGTTTTCGTATTCGCCTAACCAGTAGAGATGCTGTTTCTTGAATCCTATGTACAAACTTGAGGGCATGGAAGTTGCATTTGCACCTCAATCTCTGCCATTGGTTCATGCTCTTGGGTTAGCCACATAGCCATTGAATTTAAGGGCAAAGAACTAGTCCAAAACTTAGGATCTGTTTGGGAATAGCGTTAGCATTTTGAAAAAGGCTATCTACGGGCACCGTTAAAATTTAATCGAAAATGCTAACGCTAACCGAAAACGTTATTCCCATATGGGGTCTTATCTTTTCTCGAGGAACTGTTTTACCAATTTTAAAGGAACCTTGAAGATGGGGTTACCCTTTTTTTATGTAGAAAGTCTAGTGTCAAATTGGGGATTAATTGGAGCCTGGCATGGATTGATTTCCCATGTAAACATTTAAAAAATGCAACATATTTTTAGGGCAGCTAAGATTGACCTGCAGTTCAAAGGGCAGTGGGTCAAAAGCAAGCCTGTTCCCAAATCCAAGGAAATGAACAACTCTATTGCGGAGGATGAGGGGCAGTATGGTCTTTATGTATTCATCTGGTGTTGCTTCCTTTTTCAGATCTGCATCAGTCACCTGAAAATTCTTCCCAACTTCTAAGACCTTCTTGTCATTGATTTAAAGTCTAATTTATTTAGGGCTAGGCAAGAAAAATAAATACGGAGTATTTGTTATTGGAACACATCACTGTAGTTATTAGACCTCAATTAAAATTACAACCATGCTAGGGTACACCAAAAGTATCCCAAGTTGTACTCTAAAGAAATGTACCAACATTTTTAACAGCTCACACGGGCAGAATATGTTAGTTCAATTTAAAAACTTGCACTAACATTTTTTGCCAATGTAAATCATTACACTAACATCACACTAACACAAAATGCCCCTGCATGGCTTTGGGGTACAAAATAGGGTGTAAATTTTGGTATACAAATAGGTTAATCCTTAAAGTTAAGGTCATGAAAAGAATGGCTCTTACAAGGGCTCCAGCTGTTTCCAAATCAAGGAGTTTGAGGTGAGAAGGGAGGTCTTTTACAATATCTATGTCCTCTTTCAGTGTTTGCATGAAATGCTCCACTTGATATATCTCCTCAAACTGGCTGCAAGAAAAAAATAATAAATAAAAAATTAAAAAAATAAAATAGAATAAATAGATAGATAAATAAATAAATTAATAAACAATGATTTCTTATTATAAACATCGGCCCGGTTCCATGGCCACTGGATTCCAGTGGCCACGGAAGCCACTGCCCCTCTACGAAACTCCGTTCATAAAATCGATGATTCCTACCCCCCTAACCCCCCCGGTAAACCCCCCCCCCCCCCNATCACCCCACCTACGTCAATTGCACCTCGTAAGTATAAAGTCAAAACTTTTGACTTTAAAGTCAATTATGCTTACGAGGTGTAATTGACGTAGGTGAGGTGATGAGTTTGGATCGGGACTTGGCGAGGGGGTTTACCGGGGGGTTAGGAGGGGTAGGAATCATCAATTTTATGAACGGAGTTTCGTAGGGGAGCAGTGGCTTCCGTGACCACTGGATTCCAATAGCCATGGAACCGGGCCGTATAAACATATGTAATGGCACAAGTGGAAATTAAAGACTTCGAACCTGGGGTCTTTCCAAACAGTGCTGTAGAGAAATTTGGGTATGACCAATGTGGCATTTAGTAGAGATGCAACTGCAACAGCATTGCAAACCTGAAGCCATAAATAAATTCAATCAGAAAGAAACATTAATTACTCACATCAGAATTAATCACTCCATGCTGATCACAAGACAGTGATATTTATTGAACTATTTGAGAAAAAAGTTCTCGATTTATTTTATTGTTTGACTAAAACTATTTTGAATTATATTTATTCCTAAGTAGGTGTAAAATTTAAAAATAAAATTTACACTCGGTATATATTTAAGGACTATGTACACACATTTTCCTAGACCCTACTATGTGTGGGATTTTATTGGGGTTTTTTGTTGTTGTATTAAACACTTGATCAAAAGTTGTACTACAAAACAAGGGGTGACGTGATTATTTTATTTTTTTCAAGTGATCAATGCAAATATCTAAGAAAAATGTAGTTTTAATGTGTAAATAGTGACGTGGAATTACTATATACTCCGTATTTATTTTGAGAATAAAGTTTATACTTACTGCAACTCTTTGTTGATTCAAGCCTCCATTTGCACTGACCAATATGTAACCAGTCTTCCCCTGCTTTACTGTCCTCACATCTATTCATCAAATCATTACTCCTTAGTTCACTTACACTCTCACACACAACGAATAGGGGTGCAAAAGGGGTATTGTTCGGGTTCAGACTCCTGTCAACGACGATTTCACTGACACATTTACTTCTTACTTGTTCTAGTTCAATTTACTTGTTCCCAGATAACTGTCTGGCTGGTTGGGGCCTTTGAGATTAGGAAATTGAACACCAAAAGGCCATATAATATTGTACAATACCTTTAGGACTTTCTCTATCTGCACAAGGCTTCCATTTAGAGGCTGTAGAATATGGCTCTTCCCATAGCCTCAATTCATCTTTTTTATTCACCTCTGCCTGCTATAATTTGTCACAACGATATTAAAACCTAACAATAAAACACATTTTGGACAAAAATATAAATAAAATTTAAGCATACAATAATTTGAACAAACAAATTAAACCCACTGTTGAATACCTCTGCAAGAGATGTTGCAGCCAGAGTTAGGAGTCGATCATACATTTTAACCGAGCCTCTTTCCTCTTCTTTAAGTGGCTGAAGTTAAATTGAATTATGTTAATCAATATTGAGAGTGATAAACTTTAATCCCCAGAGATATGGAGAATTATAGAAACTAAATTATTTGTAGTAACAAAGAAATGAAGCTATATGAACCCTTTATGTATGGGCTTCATCCTCTTACTAATGGTATTGCTATGGTGGCTTATTTCTTAGAAATGAAGCTATATGAACCCTTAATCACAAAAATTTTGATTATAGAATGGACAGAGTATATTAGGGCTAACTAATTTACACACTTGAATTTAAAAAAATGTCTCGTTAATGCCACTTCATTCACAAAACATTGAGGAGAAAAAATTGTAGTAATAATGAAATTAAACAATAATACCTCTTGGTGATGATATTTTTGTGTTGACAAAAAATCTCGGTGAACGGAGCGAAGAACACAAGACGTGAGATAATCCAAAAGAAAAATGAGAACCAATAACAGTATTGTTAAAACAATTGACATAGTGTGCCTAAACATTTGAGACTTTATTTTTTGTGAGATTTTACACAGTCTTTTGTTGTTGTGCCTAGAGCACATCCACCAAAAAAGCCTTCTTCCATTGTTATTCCAAGCCATTTCAAAAAAAAAGTAAAAAAAAATCCTTTCTTTCCCACTCTCTTTGTGAGCATTTAATGTATGTGTCTTCCTTTTTCCCATGGCTCTTTCATGCTTGCATTACATAGAAGAAATATATGAAAGGTTTTGGTATGAAAGTAACAAGCTAGAAAATTTGATATGTGACCAAGTAACATACTACAGATGATGCATGGTTGAATTGTAAGCTAAGGTAACTTAAGAGTGGTTGGTCATGACCATGCATGTCATATAATTTAAATTTGATAAGCGTTAACATTCAACTAGATCATAAGACACTTGGATTAAATTGTATTAAAAAATTTGTTCTAATCACTTAATTATTTAGTTTTAATCATGATGACTTTATTAACCCCATTATTATTTCTTTAATTTTTCAATCTAGGGTACTTTAACAACATGACATACACCCCACCACCACCCCATTATTATTCCTTTTTGGATATGTAGTTAAATGTTTTCCACCTAGGAATACTTTATTTCACTTTTTAGTAATGAACATGTGACTCACACGATTTCTTTCTAATATAAACAAATGCTACTATAAACTTTTTAGTTCTTAATATTTTTTTTTAAATCTAATGAAAATCAAAATGAGTATTATTTTTTGGGACGTGTGGAGTAATGATAATAATAATAGTAATAATAGGAAATAAATTTTAGATTAATTGGAGTGAACTTGAAGGGTTGGAGCTAACAAAAAGGTAAAATTGCAAACAAATACAGGAGAAAAATCAACATCTGCAACAAGGGTATAGCTACCTGCCACCTAACGGATGAGCTAAATCTGCTAGCTTCTTCAAACATGGTTTCATAATTTTCATTCATCAAAAATAAATCCATGGAGAAGAACATGGATTAGTCTAATTAGCTCTCTAAGGATTTGTTTTATAGTCCCTCCATCCCAAATTTACTTTACTAATTTTTTAAAAATAATTTACTTTACTAAATTCATTTATATAATAATATAAATCTTTAAAATAAAATTTATATATTTAAAAAACTTTTAATTTATCTATAAAATAAGAGATGACATAAATGATGAATGATAATAAGTAAAGAGAGAAAAAGGGTTTGACATGTGAAATTGTGAATGCTGAAGTGAGATTAATTCTATACAAATGGAATAATGATTTAAATTTTTCTCTAGTGAGTAATTATGTCATGAACCTAATGTTTTCATTGACTTTATCACATAAGCAAATTTGTAAAATTAAAAAAAAAACAAAAACATAAATACGATGATCGAGTATATTGGGGGCAACACAGTTAGCCCAGCCCGTTTATAATTATTTTATTGTAATTGGGCCCATAATGCTTGATCCAAGTTATCTAGTAGAGGAAGAGCGTTGGAAGCCCACATGTTATGGGCCATGGGTCCGTGTATCTAATTATATGATGTGTGACGGTTGACACACAAGTTACATGATTCAGGCCTCGTTTGGCATTAGTATTAGAAGCTGGTGTTACCGTTTTAAAAAAGTTATCTGGCAGTAGCCTTTAGCTTTAACATTTTTCAGAAGTAACCTACACTATTAAAATTTTATTTAAGACGCTAACACTAATAAAAAATGTTGTTACCAAACAAGCCCTTAATCCTTGCCAATAGAATGTTTTATATGATTGATTTATAAAATTGGGCCGGTTCATATGACATTGGTATCCAATGTCATAATATGACCTGGGGTAGCTACGATGTTTCGTTCAAAAAATTGGTGGTTTGGAGTAGGAACTATCAATTTTTCAAACAAAGCACCGTAGGTGCTGTGAGTCTTACTATGACATTGGGTACCAATGTCACATGAATCGAAATGTAATAAAACATGTTTACATGTATGAGCATGAAATGACACATTTCCTCCTGCATGTATTCTTATATTAAAAAAATCATGTATAGAGGGTTAACGAGAGTTTCCTAAAGAGAGAACGGTCTTGAGTTTGATACGTAAAAGTAAGTGTATCTCCTTCCTTATATTTCAGAGAGGGGTATTTCTAGACAAACGAATGAGATATGACATGCCGAAGATATTCAAAAAATAATGCTAATGGATCAACCTAACAAGCTATGCCGCTCTCCTTACCACCCTCTATCAAGGATCTCAATCATCATAATCATGATATATGGAGTACCCATGGCTGACTGCAATCACACTATATGAGGCTGACTGCTAGTCACAATCTAATAGTTTCTCTGTGAACATGAACTATGCAGAGTTATGCCATTGGATATGTCTCTTGAAGCTCTGAAGTCTGCTAGTCACAATCTAATAGTTTCTCTGTAAACATGAACTATGCAGAGTTATGCCATTGGATATGTCTCTTGAAGCTCTGAAGTCGGGCTTTTAATCTTAGCATAGTATGGAGTATTCTCTAACAGGACAAATATTTTTAATCTAGAGTATCTGTACTACGAAGTACATGATGACCATTCAACGGTTTATGATAAAATTAAAGGACGTGGTATGGTTAATTACTGGATTGAACCATAAGACGACTTGAGCTATATTAAAAGTTTGAATCTAATCAATTACTAGTAGTTTAACTCAAAAGCTTATTAACTTGTTATTTTTCTCTTCTACTTCCGGTCCAATTTGGGATACTTCTTAAACTTTTCTCAAGTAGACAATCAGGTCATTTTGAATATAATCGGTTAAATACTTGCAAATACGTTCACTTTCCATTGAAACAATATTTGAGCGGTAACACCTAAAGAATTTTGAGTCACTGGGTATGGACTTCTAGACAAACAAAATGACCTCAAACCTGTATATGCCTTAAAACCATTATTTTTCTCTTCAACTTCCAATTTCTTTCAATTTCCAATTCTAAAATTCTAATCCAAAATGAACAATTTAATATGAAATGTTCTAAATAAACAAAGAAGTTAATTTAGGGAATGTTAAAAAACCCCAAAGTTTTAAACCCATTATTTTTGTCTTCAACTTCCAACATTTTTCAGTTTCAATTGTGAAATTCTAACCCAAAACGAGTAAATACAATATGAAATCTTCAAAAAGAAAGAAAGAATGTCTAGTAATGCGAAGGAAATAATTGGAAATTCTTCCTTTGTCCTTAAAAGGTTTTTATTTACTACGGAGTATTTGTTAGGTTAAAATTTAATTTTTAAAAAATCGTAATTTGCAATAAAAATTATTTTTAAAAACGAAGGGAGTAAATAATATTTTTAAAAATGAGGGTATACACACACACCCCTTAGGAATATATATATATATATATATATATATATATATATATATATATATATATATATATATATATATTCCAACCAAACAGAGCGTTAAGGCGTTACGGGTTACGTCAAAGCTTGTTTTAAAAACTTTGTAGGATAATAATGATTAATGTGGAGAAAGAGATAGCAAAAGGTAGTGATGAGTGGAATTTAGTCCAAAAGTACCAACCAGCCTATCACGGCTGTCAAATTTCAACAAATTTATTGGACAATTATGCAATAATGAAAACGAATGGGGCCTGAACATAAATATATTAATTTCGAACACGAAAAACAAAGGCCAAGGTTAAAGATATAGCAAATTGAAAGAGCTGGATTCACATGGGTCGTGTTTTCGTTTCTTCCCATGGGTCCTTTCTCTCTCTCTCTCTGAACCGACAATTATCAGCTTTGAAGGATAATACTAATAAAGATCAATAAAAATACCCATTTCTCTTCTTCTTTTTCCTCCATCTTTCTTTCTTCTTTTTTTCCCTCTGCATTCTTTTCTTTCATTTCTAGGGGGAGTTATGGCCCAGGATCAGGTGAGAATTTCCCCCTCTTTTTCCTCTTTTCCCCTCTTTTTTTTTGTTCGGTGTAGAAAGCGATTTTTGTTCTAATTTTAAAAAACCCATTTTGAATGTTTATTTTGCTCAGAGAGCTCATACTAACTGTGCCCATCATCACTCTTAGCTGGTCTTTAGTTATGCTGCTGAAATGAGTTTGTTTTGTTTTGCTTTGCTTTTGTTGGGTAGAAAAAATTAGGGTTAATATCAGCATAGAATTGTAGTGCTGATTTCTTACTGTTATTCTTGTCTGAGTATCCTGACAGAGAATTGATCTGGCTTGCTTTCATGTTTTCTGGGATGATCTGTAGGTTCTTGCTATTATTCTGAATCATGGGTCTATTTTCTTTTATTTAAAAACTGTTTTTTTATTTGTAAATTCAGTTGTGTTATCTTTGTTTCCACTAGTTTCAATCTGATAATTTCTGCTAGTGCATGATGATCTGTACTTAAAGCTCAATATTTTGATGGATGCCATGTACTTGGTCTGAATTCTTTGTTCTAACTTGTTTTCTTTTCTGTTCGGGGGATGCTTTGATTGTGCTTTACTTCCTTTTATTGCCCTATTAGGGTTTGCTTGTTCGGGGGATTTTATTATTTATTTCTATTCTTGTTTTACTAAGTTATCTCAATTCGTAGTAGTAAATAATAAAATAACTATATCTCACATCCTTTCTGACCACCTAAAATTGTTATAAATATTAACATCCGTTATTCGTTTTGGGTATGTGTATTTTAGGAGATGGCTGCTCCTATTGTGGATGGGAATGATGCCGTTACCGGTCATATAATTTCCACAACCATTGGGGGGAAGAATGGAGAGCCGAAGCAGGTAATAGAACCGATTTCCCTTCTCTTGTTAGATTGTTAGCTATGTAAAGCCTTATACTTTCAGCATGAAGCATGTTCGTTTTAGCATAACTAAATGTATTGTGTTTCGAATGATTTAGGTATATGACTAAAAATATCATGTATCCAAAATTCGGAGTGTTTATAGTTCTTTATAGTCTATACCCCTTATATAAGAAATGCCTACAAACCTTTTCACCTTTGGCCTCACAAGTATCAGAGTATTCCCATTTTTGTTCTTCAACTTTCATTTTTTTCACTTCTTGATGCATGATTATAGAGTTGTTTGTTTAGTCCTTTTGTCCAATCATCCTGCAAAAATCAGCAGTCGTGCGTTGGAAGTAGAAAATGGAAGTTAGAGACCAATAG